GTTAGAGTTCTGGGAAACTCTTGTAAGCATATTAATGCTTATCAATCACATAAATTATGCATTGAATATTTTTATTACTTTTAAAAAATCTAACATATGTTTTTGTCGCAAAATTGTTCAGCTGTTTTGTTTAACATGTATTATAACAAAGCTCGCAAAATTGTACAGCTATGCCCCAAGATGGGGCACAGTTAAAACAGGGATGGGGAACACAAACAAACAAGTAAATATATATATATATATATTTATATACATGAGTGACAAATCTACTGATAAAATCATAAGTATTCATGATATATTGACAAACTTTCTAGAATTCACAATTGATATATGAATTGAAAAGTATTAATCTCAGTTTGTTTACACCAAGCTTCAAAATGAAAGAATATTTATCCGATTTTAAATAAGTACTAACATTATCAGCATAACACTGTGTAACGTCCCCAGTTGAGCATAGATAAAAGAATTGTGTTGATTTTGATGTCTTTGATGGCTTTGTTCAACTGTACCCCGTGTTCAGCTGTGCCCCACTCTTTCCTATTATTTTACCCATTACCTAGTTTTTTGTTTACTCTCAAGGACCGCTCCAATCTGGATCGGGGTAAAATTAAATAGCGAAGTTCCAAAATTTGAATTTTTTTTTTTTCCAAAGAAAAATCTTTAGGTACAAGTACAAAGTTTTAGTACAAGTACAAAGTTTTAGTACAAGTACAAAGTTTTAGTACAAGTATATTGCTCTTACATTTCTGAATAAATGAGTTAGAATTTCTAATGAAAACATTTGAATTTTGTTCGAACATATTTGTTCTAATAAAAAGCAGTGTACTTAAAAAGCAGAAACAACAACAAATAAAAAAGATTTACGCTAATTAAATAAAGATCTTAAAAATTGATGTTGAAAGGTAATTTTCTTACATTTCATATGTTATAATACAGTATTCTTTACAAAGATGTTAAAAGAAATGTTTTTTATTTTAATCAATTAAACAGTTTAGAAGATTCTTAACGATGATTACTTAGCCTTTTGAACCTTTGCAAATGATGGTTGAAGTCATGATGGAGCAATTTTGTTATAAAAAATTCAATTTCCTATTATCTCTTTCGAAACCTATAACACAAACCAACATTTCTGTTTAAATATTTTCTCTGGACTAAACCATAAAGAACTAGAAATTGCGAAAAACTCACTTAAGACGAATAAGGCTCATGGGATAGACAACATTTGTAGCTATATAGTTGTAAATATATTTTCAGTGATAAAACAGCCTACTATGAAATATTTAAATTTTCAATTATTACAGGATCTGTACCAAATAATAGTGGCGCAGTGGTAGCGCACTTGCCTCAGAAACGTAAGATTAAATAAAGTAAAAATAGCTAAGGTAATACTAATAATAAAAACCGGTGATTCATTTACACTAAATAACTACAAACCTATCTTAGTGCTTCTTGTATTTTCAAAACTTTTAGAAAAGAGTAATATACAATAAACTGTATAAATATCTAACAAACAATGTAATCCTAAATGAAAAACAGTTTGGCTTCCAAAAGCAGCATTCAACCGAACACGCAATTCTTGATCTTATAAATTATATAAATGACTCCTTTGAAAACAAAAAACACGTCCTTGGAGTCTTTGTTAATTTATCTAGGGCGTTTGACACAGTAGATCGCATCTTACTAGGTAAATGGAAAAATTTGGGATAAAAGGTGTTGCTCTAAACCGGTTCAAAAATATTTTATTAGATCGAAAATAATGCGTCATTGCTAATGAAAACTTTTTTTCAAATTTACTCTAAATAAAATGCGGTGTTCTCCAGGGTTCCATTTTTTCTTCTTTTTTATTTTTAAAATACATAAACGATCTTCCTAAAGCCTTAATTAAAATGTCATAATATTTTTTTTACAACCGACAACACTAATTTATTTTATGTATACACATCTATTACAGAATTTTATGAAACTACAAATACTGAACTTGAAAAAATAAACAGTTTAAGCAGCCGTAGCGCAGTGGTAGCGCAATTGCCTCAGAAACGTAAGATCCGTGGTTCAAACCCCACCTCTGGGCAAGTTTTGATATATCAGTTGGGAAGGAGGCGTGAACTTCCTATTAAATGCTTTTCCGTGGTGCTCTGTAATAACACCATAAGGACTTCCTGGGGCACCTTAATCAATTTAAAAAAAAAAAAAAAAAAACAGTTAATTAAAATTAAACAAGTTGTCGCTAAACAGAAAAAACCAAATACATTATTTTTCATTCTGAACTTATAAAAATACCTCCCGATTTACCTTCCCTTATTATAGATACTAAAGAAATAGAGAGAAGCCAAGCAACTAAATTTCTAGGGATACTTATTGATGAGAACATCTCATAGAAACCACATATAGATACATTAAATACCAAAATATTAAAAAACATTGGTATCCTTTACAAAGCTCTATACTTTTTCCTGATAATTTAAAGTTCCTATACTTCTCATTCATACAAAACTACTACATATACGCTAATGTTGCATGGGCGAGTACTTATAAATCCAAACTAACCACACTATATCGAAAACAAAAACATGCTGCAAGAATAGTTTTTAATAAGGATTGACTCTCGCAAGCTGAGCCACTTTTAAAAAATTTGAAAACATTAAGTGTATATCAAGTCAATATATTTCAAAATTTTTTGTTTATGCTCAAATATAAACGTGGACATGTTCCTTTTCACTTTTCAAAAACTTCTTCGAAAATAACAAAAATAGATACCATACCAGCGAAACGGTAAACTTCAATGTACCATTCAAAAATCTTTCGCGCTTTTCCATTTCGTACCGTGTTCCTTATCTATATAACAAATTAATATCCAAAAGTACTCAACTGAAAAAAATCGAATAACTTGAAGAATCTGATTATTCAAAAATCTCATTTTAATCATTAACAACTTGATGAATTTTTTGTTAACCCAAAAACATTTAAAACTATGTATAAAACTAAATTTGTTTCGAAACCAATGTAAACTCTAATAACTCTAATAACTCTAAATAACTCAAAAACAACAACAACAACAACAAAACTAAAAATAAATAATAGGCTTATTTATCAATAAATATTACTTATCAAATATATATCAAATATATAGCAAATCGCGTACCTACTTATATTTATGTGTATTGAAATAAAATTAAATAAGTCAAAAACTTCTTTTTGTTTGCATTTATTTTAATTTACAGTTTTATTTTATATATTTTTTATACAACGTAGACTGCAAAAAATGAATTCTTGTTTTAAGCAAAAAAAACTTGTTTTAAGCACTTTTTTACTTAAACAAGCAATTTTTTTACTTGTCAGTATGGTAAGCAATTTTTTATTGAGCGAGAATTTTTTTTACTATGCATGACTTTTTTTTTAAATTCCTGCTTAGTAAAAAAGTTCTTGGTTAGTAAAAAATTGCTTACCATGTTGACAAGTAAAAAATAGCTTGTTTTAAGTAAAAAATTGCTTAAAACAAGTAGTTTTTTGCTTAAATTAAAAACTCACTTTTTGCAGAGTGCACACGATATTAGGAATAACTTCTTTAACAAGCAAAAAAATCTTGTAATTATACTCTGAAAACGGTTCTAATATATATAATGAATTTGCAAAGAATAAAAAACAAAAAAGTATTTTTAAAAAGGTGTCAATGAGTGAAAATGCTAAAAAACAAGCATGCTTTTCCGCAAGTTGTTGAAGCAAGTCGACTTTTTCTGTAAGTAACTCTGCGTGTACATTCCTTATTATATTATATGTTTATTGTCGCTGTTTTCTATGATACTGCTTTTGGTATGCCTTATTTATAACTTACTCAACGGGAACTTAAAACACACTGACGTAACTTTAACTCAATCACTGAAGAATACTCCCAACTTAAATACCACCCTTCAATACTGGACATCTGTCGAAATATTTAAAATTATCTAGCACTCTCTTGTACTCGTAAAAAATACTTTCTCTTTCTTTTAAGACTATGACGCCTGATGTTTCCAGCGAGTGGTGGAACTTTAATAGCTTCCACTGCAAAACTATAGAAACTTACTGCCAATAAATTCCCCTCCGTTAAAAGGTTAGTGTTGAGAGTTCATTATTTTTGGTCACTCTGATGCATTTTTTCACTGCAGACACAGACTCTTGAAGAGGTGATTAGCAACATCAAGAAGCATGTGAAGTTCCATGGGTTAAATGAAGTCCAAGATGAGTGTTCCTTCAGGTAACTGAATAACTGACTTATGCACAACATTCTAAAACCCCCAGGCTTTTTATTTGGGCACCTGCTGCTTGGAAGCCTGTATAATCAGATTGAAAGAAACTAAAAAGCCTTTTCAGAGTGATTTTCTTCAATAATTACCAGAAATTGATGCCTCACACCTGAGATCTTAAAAAGAAGTTTCTCAGTTAGGAGAGAAGTATTTGGTTTTAAGTCAAAAAGTCCTAGAAACACTTTCAGGAACCCTCCATCGATTCCCACCTTGATAAATTCATTTGACTTCGGACCTCTGATATTAATTTTGTTAAGTGGTTAAGAGCCCAGTCTGGTTTTAATCTTGTAGAAGTTGTTGAGTAGTCAAGGTGGTTATAGCTGCTGGAAAAATTGATGACCGTGGAAAAGAGTTTACATCAACATAACACAGTTTTTCATATTGTAAAGTTTTTTTGTTGCATTAAAAGAGTCACTAAAATAAAAAGTATGTTAATAAAAAAAATATTCTTAACCTAGGGTAACTAAAGATGTCTTCCTATTCCTTGACAAAGACGCACTGTACCATGAGGTGAAGGAACCTTTTTAGCTATAACAGAAGCTTCACTTTCTGCTGCTTTTATGCCTTTTGCTGCTACTTCAAGTATTGCCAAAAGTTGATAGCTTTAATGTGAAATATATAACAGTTAAATTTAATTAATTAAGATTCTTAGTAAGATTAGTTAGACTTGCGAAACGTGCAAGAAAACTAGTAACGATCTTATTAAGATTCGAAAGTTTCGTGCGATTTACTAATAAGATTTGAAAGAAATGTGAGACTTTATTAAGATTTGTAAGTTTTCGTGCGGTTTCTTATTAAGATTTGTAAGAAATGTAAGATCTTAATAAGATTAGTAAGATTTATCTTTATTTCTTAGTAAGATTTCCAAGTTATAGTATGAATTCTTAGTAAAATTTATAAGATCTTATAAGATTAATTTGTATTTTTTCCGGTCCTACTAAATTCCAAGCATATTTTCTCATAGAGAATGCTAACAAATAAAACAATTAAGTAATTTGATTAATTTTTTCTCGAAACAAATTCATAAGTAATAATACAACAGTGCTCATGTTAATAGTATAAATAATACTTATAATATATAATACAACAAGTCACTTATGCAAGACTATTCCGTACTGCATAAACACTCTAAATGAGAAAATTGTATTTTAAAACCTTAAAAAGTATTACCGACGAACTATAATTATACTCATAAACTTTCAACTAAACTTTTTTCAGGTGCTTACAAATCAAAACATAAATAACTAAAGTCAATTTTTTAATAAGTGAGAAAACAATCCAATATAAAACTGCGCGCAGTTTAACTGTTCTAATATTTATGTTTTAAATCAAGTTTTATCTCACGTATATCGTTTACAGCTGTGTCAACAGCCTGTTCACTAAAGCGTTTTACAATTGCGTCTGACGACTAAAGGGTTTTACAATTGCGTTGTGTTTACATAAAATTGTTTAGGGTAACTTTTTCTGTTTTTATATTTTTGGATCGACATTGTAAAACTTTAAACTTTCTGTACCAAGAGATTTTGTGCCAAATTAATATTGTTTTATGGCAATTCGGCATCAACAATGATGTATAGATTAACTCCCTTATGAATTTATAGTTTAAAGAAGAAAAATTATTAATATTAACTTTAATTAACGCTTATCAATTTTAGAATTAATTTTAAAAAATTAATAAAAGAAGTTATTACTCAAGACATAACACAACACTTTAACAACAAATACTACATAAGATTGAGACTCTTTTGCATTGTTGAAGGAAAAACAAAAGTTTTATATATTTGTGCACCCAGTGGCACTAATTTGTGTATATCCATCCTTTTCATCGTGCACTGGTGTTTAACTTTACTACAAAAAAAGTACTATGAATAACTGAGATGTTTGAATATGATTATGTACAGAAATCAACTAACAGTCATATATAACATTTATAAAGCTAAATTCATCAAACACAAATTTCTATTTTTATTAAAATTAAAAACATAAACTGATGTGGGTTTTGTCCTGTAGTCTTTAAATAAATATACCATTTTAAATTAGTCTTTAGTCTTTAAATACCATTTAATAACTAACAGCTATTTTTATTCTTCTCCCAAGGTTCCAGGCTATGTAAGAAGTTGTTTTTCTTAAGCAAATAAATTAAATATAATACAGGGTGTCTGCCAATATTTAAAGAAGAATTTCTCTGACTTTGCCCTGATTCCAACCTGTTTTTGCTGACTTAATTTAAAGCAACAAAAGCTCAACTTTAGAGAAAACCAACTTTAATTTGTCCAGAAAAATACTGTAGTGCAAATATATATAAATATAAATACAACATTCAAATTATCAATAGAAGGCCATAAAAAAAATCTTTTGAATAAATCTTTATATTATGTATATGATACAAAACTGACATAAGTTATGTACATTTGCCAAATAGCCATTTTCCCTGATTATTTTAAAATACAACCCAACTTCCCTAATTATTCCTTTGTCTTTTGCAGAAATCTAAAACTGATTTTCTTTATCTGGCCGACACCCTGTAATAACTTCCACATATTTACTTTATACATATTCTGAAAATGAAATATTGCATTATTTTTTAAAATATGGAAATAGTTATTTTAAATTGATTGCACAGTTTCTATGGTTTTTCCTAATTATTGGGGTATGTACTTTTTCTTAACCATCTAAAATTCAATATAATAAATCTTAACCATAGTCTGTATAATATTATTATTAGGAATGCATATATTAAATATTACTTTAAAATATTACAATTAAACATTTTAAATTTTCCACTTTTATTTGAGAACTTGTTTTTGCAAGCTCATTTGCAAGATTTGCAAGTGCAAGTGTATTGATTCTATGCCATTGGCCAATGATTAGGCCAATTAGCTCCTGATCATTACCAATGGCATATGCTAGATGGTAGAGTTTCTGCTGATGTGTAATGAGCCTGCTGCAGAAGAAGAAATTCAAGTTATGGTAAAACCATAGATGTGTTTTGGTACTGGTGTTAGCATCTTATGACTGAGATCACAATATAAACATGGTAAAATGTTTTATAATGTTTTCTGTATTATAAGTCGCTAACAACTCATTAGAACTCACAGCAAAATCGTAAATCTATTAACCATAGTTTAATAAATTTATTTCTTAGAAACAAGAAATATGTTTCTTGTTTTTCAAAAAAATTGTATAGTAGGATACTTATTTCTTAAAACAAGAAATATATTTCTTGTGCTTACATTAAAAAATTTTCGAGATAATGTAGAGCGTTAGATGAGCTTGGAGAGGCTTCATATGTTTTTTCAAATATAACAAAATTTTTCAAATCTTGTAAAGAACTATTAAAAAAGAATAAGAGTGGACACAAAGATAAGTTAACACTTAAGTGTTAATATTTTACAAGTTTTTACCACTCAAGTGTTAAAATACTTTATGAATTTACCAGACTTTCGATTATAATTAGCCGATTTTTTCTAAAACCTTCTGTTTTCTTTAAAACCTAAATAATGTGTCACTTTGTCTAACAGGGGTATTTTAAGGAGCTTTAAAAAAATAAACAAAACAAAATTACCATACATAAAGAAACAACTTTGATAATAAAGAATTTTGCGGTGTATATATATATTTTAATTATTTATTCTCAAATCAGACTTCAAGCTACTTCAAATCAGACATCAAGCAAATTTTCAATCAGACTCCAAATAATTGTTTCAATTATTTTTATTTTTTATGACATTTTCATACTATTTAAAATATTCTTTTCTCCTAATTACGTCATCAAAGTGTATCAAATTTTATTTTAAAAGTTATTGACACGTTTAATTGTTAACAATAACTTTATTGATAATTTACCCAAATTCCATATAATGCGTATTCACATAACTGTTGATAACTCAATTTGACCCACACCGTTGCTATGCTTACCCCGTTGGGCAGGTCAAGCGGCTCGGAATACTTTATGCAATAGCTTCTTAAACAAATCAAAAAAGTATACTTTTTCTTTACTAACTTTTGTTCTTACCCGAGAATCTTTTAAGAGCCCAGTCTGGTTTTAATCTTTTTAATCAATCGGGTAAGAACAATTTCTTAAAACTATTTAAGTTTGATCGTTCATGAAATCTGTTAGATTTAGTAAAAATTCCATAACCAACCCCGCTCTAACCTATATAAAACCTATATAAAAACAGTAAAATCTAATAAAAATAAAAGTATCAATCGAATAAAATTAGTTGTCGCGTTCTTATCTCAAAGTCAAACAAAGGATCAATTAGCATTTTATCAATCAGTAGCAGACCATAAAAGAGTATTGGAATCAAGCTCTACAACAAATTATAAAATCATTCAATATCTCGTTATCACGGTGGATAGGAACATTCCCTGAGACCTTGCGACACATCCCCAGAAATAATTTTGTTGTTTATTATCAGAAGACTCTTCGCTATTTCAAAAATGTAAAAAACAACTTTTTTCACCAGGGCCTACGGAGAAATCACGTATTTTAGGCGAGTCGTAGTAACTTTGTTGATTAAAATAGGTAACTCAGAGCTTTTTGGCATACTCAAATTTTAATATTTTAATACTGGTAACAAATAAGGATGACTTGCAAAATGTTTAGGTTATTGAATCTAAGTGAACCCCGTTTTAGCCCTTTTACAAGAACTACGTTTCCTAAAAGAATTAAAAATTTTTAAATTCTTAAATCATAAATTAGACTAAAAGTTATCGACAGATTTCAAGTTTCATCAAAAAATCTCTTTTTGTTAAAGATTTATGACCATAAGAAGTTTAAAATTCCACAAATTTACCCCCTAAAATAAGATTGAATGGTCAAAACTTTTAACCTAATAATTTTTTTATATTAGTCTCTATTGTTGAATATGTTTTGAGAAAATCTGTTTATAAAGTTGCCTTAGACGATTCAAATAAACTTGCAAACAGCCTTATTTGTCTAGATTGCTATGTTCAAAAGGCACAAGAAATTCCACATCACTGTATAAAATTAGAAAGACAAAAGAATTTGACGGCTATTTTAAGATCAATATTCCCGACAACGCAAGGAAAAGTTCTGTCCAGTTTAATGAAAGGCTTGAACACAAATAAATCAGAGAACACTTTAGCTTTGAAAACATTTGGTTCAAAACAACTTGTCGTTTCTGTCGAAAGGAATGAGATTAAAGAACCTTTCTTTTCTTTGGATAAATTTATTAAACTTCAACTAAAACTAGATTCCAGGTAAAGTTTTGGTACTTAAATTTTTTTATCATAATTTACTTATGAATTTAAAGCCAATTTTTCAAATAACTTTGTTATGACTTCTAAGTAATTGCAATATGATTGAAATTGCACACTTTTTGAAACTGTCTGAGAGCAACCAGCTGATTGGAAAATTATTCGATAGTGATAAATTCCCATTATGGTTAAGGGTTAAATGAAAACAAAGAGGGAAGTAATCTATTACCTACAATTTTTTAAAATAGCTAGAATGCAATCTTTATCATTCATTTTAAACTTTTATTTATAAATTGTTGGTAAAAAAAATATACTCCTATGGTGTATTGCAATGACGTTGAAGAGCCTGTAGCAATGGTGCTTTTTCACAGACATCAAGAAACAAATAATGTAGATATCAAACTAGGTGTAGATAGTAGGCAAGGATTCCTTAAGTTACTCTATCAATTACCCTAAAACTAAAGTTTGAAAGTTCAAAAATCCAAATTAAACTG